CCCCCCCCCCCTGCCCCCCGCGAGCCACGTCAAGTCGCGACTTTTCTGGTGACCCTAGGATTTGCACCTTGCAACCATGGTGTTGGGACCGCGTGGTGTACGGGGTCTGGTCAGAACATTATTGGTGGGTATGCGAGTGGCTCACGCGGAGACAAGTTGCTGTGGGCTGTGTGTGAAAATATTGTGTTTTTTGTGCATTGGCGTGATTTTTTTTTTATTTGGATTGGTTGGCGAGGCCGATCGTACGCGATTCGATTTGGACCGGGGCGGGGGGGGGCGGGAGGGGATTGTGCCACCCTGGGAGAGACAGACACCACGGGTTATGTTGCTTGTACCATTAGCCGTGTGTATTTGGCGCCTTGTGACCTGGAAGGAGCCCAAGGGCCCCAACATGCGCTATGGGCGACGGCCGCTTGCGATTGGCCCCGTTCAGTGTAGGGGGGGATGGGTCATGGTCATGGTCGGGAAGAGGGGAGTGTTGTTGGATTCGACCCAAAAATATGTTGTCGAGAAGTGAGTCAGACGTTTCGGCGAGAGAGGTTGGGGAAGGGGAGGGGGGGAGGGGGAGCCTGCTGCCTGGTATGGCCGTTCGATGGTTTTCTCAAAATGTGATGTGGGTTCGAACGGATTTTTTTTTTTTTCTAATGGCTGCCCGTGTCGTTGCTTTTTCTTTTCGGTCCTGTTGTATCGCTGTTTTCTCAAGGCCAATTCGTTTGAGAAGACGGTGCCATCGAGTCGGTCAGTAGAGAGGGAGGGAGGTCGCTTGCCCAGACTGGCCAGCTTCCTGTCAAACGAAGGGAAATAAAAAAGTTTGTTTTTTCGATTAATCCGACGGATCGATTGATCTGTCGCTGCTTTTTGCCTGCCGGGTGTGGCTGCGAAACACGTCAGCGTGTCACGAGCCTTTTTTGTGTGATGCAAGTTGTTCACGGCGTTTACGTAGTTTCGCGTCGTATCTGCTACATCCGCATTCATTCCCCGTGCCTTGCGCATTGGTAGCCAGCGATGCCTGTCCTCCTCGTGTTCCCGGAGGACATGACTCGAATTTCCACACATGTCTTCTTGGAGCAACGCAACATGCCTACAGTCAGTCGGTCGGTCATGTGCTCATCTGTTGAAAACTTTATAATTCCCGAACAGAAATAAATTCGTTTCATCATCTGACGGTTTTCACCGCGTGCGACCGCTCTTCTTTTTTTTCGCGATGCGGTTCGTCACCCTTCGCTCCGACAAAGTGCGCCACGGCGTGCGTCTCTCGCCGAAGAACTCTCCATTCGGGGTCTCCCTCAAACAAGAATAATATTAACGGGGCAACCTTCGTTATTGACGAGACTAGGCTCCCCAGCTCCTTCCACCCATGTTACGCCCTCGCTTTTTATAATGAACAAGCCCAGCAATGTTTTACGTGTGTTTGCGGCGGGTTTTCTCTCGCGCAACAAACGGATGGTTCACGCACCTGATTCATGCCATTTCTTCCAATCAAGGTGCATAACGTTCTTGGTGTACACCATCGATGCGTTCCATTTTTTGTTTTTTGGCATTCTTGCAGACAGCCTCACTTGCTCTCAGTGCCCTTTGGGGTGTGTGTGTCGTGGCACACAACACTACCAACGACCGACTCGTTTTGCAACGGGGGCTATTTTCCAACGCAAGCTTTCGCAGGCGCTCTCTCTCCTCGCTCGCTCCGCGCGGGGAAATGCGATGCGGATTTCAGACACACCCTACGGCCGCCCCCCTGTAGCCACGCCACATCAATCCTGCTGTGTACGGGTAGACTCGGGAAACTCGCTTTGCTGAGATTCGAACTCCCTTCCCGACCTAGCCACAAGCTTTCATTGTGACCACCGCGCGCGCGATCGACTTTTTCTGCGCGACTACGCTGCGACCCTACCCCCCTCCACCCGCTCTCGAAGCTCGCGTGGGTCACGTGCTACCTCACTCAATGTTCCCAGCGACAGGGTATTTCGTTGTTGTGTCGTTGTCGATTCACCTCTCCTGGCGGCAGGGGGTGTGTGTGTGGTACGCCACCGCCGTCTCCCGAGGAGAGGGGACGCCATAATCACTAAAAAGTGTTGATGGGTTTGCCGGTGGACGTCGAAAAATATATGCATGCTCCCACCACCACGACCACTCCGACGCCGGCGTAAAACTACGCGCCTCTCTCTGCGCCGCGCGGAAGGGTTGAATTGCTATATATATATAGTAGCGTACCGTCTCCCTTTTCACGAAATACCGTACGTTGTGAATAATCCAAAACCCGCGCACGACACCACCCAAACCCCTAATCACACTTACTTGCTTGCTGCTGAATCCTCATCCCTCCATCATCTTGGCAGTCCGAAAAATTTGTTTGCGTTAAAACGCACAACCCCATAGCATCAACCAACACGTGAAAGGAAACGCATACTGTACACACTAAACACCCGCGAATACAGCAGGAGCTGCCTGCTGACCAAAAGCGCATGTTCTTAATTGATGTTCTCGAAGGTGCATGCCAATCCTCGACCTCGCCCAATTGTTTCGCGCGGTGATAGAGGAAGGGGAAAGGCAGGACGACTTCTCCTCCGAGGCCAGGGCGGATGCAGTCGATTTGCTGGTTTCGCCAAGCACGTCATGGGCGCTTTCGTTTTATTATTGTTCGTGCAGGGAAACAGATGCAATGTCTTGCACCCCCTGCTCTTCCAGCCGCTTGCGCATGAGGTCGTGGTCCTCTACCCCGATGCCTCGACCGTTTTCGATCTCTAGGACCTGAACGCGCGCAAGCGCATTCGGCACAAAGGTGTCAATAGTACACACGACCGTGAGGGGTGACCCACAAGATGAGGGTGATCCACATTGATTCACGTTTCGAGCAAACGAGAAACAGACACGGTGGGTTTTCGGCAGCCGCACGCCGACCCGGACTGGGCGCGACAAAGGGATGGTGTCAAAAGGTTTAGGGCTCAAACCAATCCTCGTGTAGGACCGTAATGTACGTCATTTCGTACGTCGCAGATAGATAGATATGTGTCTTTCTACGAAGTGCGATCGATCGCGTTGGTTGGTATTCGCCTCCTCCCCACTTCTCCAAGCAAGCATCCTTTGTCCACCCACCACTCAATCTCGCCACCGGGGTCGTCAGAACCCCCGAGAAAAGACAAGAGCAAGAAAGCATGCACCGAAGACTGCTGTTTCTCTGAATAAGGGAAGACAATGATGCGCGATGGAGACAAACGTAAAGCTTTACATAGTCTACACACACCAACACACGCGCCTTGCCTCTTGTACGCCGTCCGAGTGCGTGACGAGCGCTCGGCAGCTGCCGGTGTTGTTGCCGTCGTCGTAGCCAGTTGCCGGGCATTCTTGGGCCGGCAGTACCCACGCGTTGAGCGTGACCGCCTGGAAGTAGTCGTCGTTCTCGATCGCCGCCGAGAGGTCTCGGAAGTAGTCCATGAAGTCGCAGAAGAGCACCGCCATCTGCTGCTGCCCCGTCGACACAGTAGATACAAAGGCAAGAGGGACACAAAATAAATGCCAAGGAGAGGCGCAGAGGAATCTACGCACGCGTCACTTTTGCAGATTGATTCCTATGCGGTTAATTAAGTACAAACAGTAGTTCCGCTTTCTGAAACTTATGTCTCTAAGCCGTTCCGTCCGCTCGAGCAGACTGTTCGAGGTTTCGCCAGTCAGTGTGACTCCTGCATCGTGTACTCCTGGCTTAGCCCTACGGCCACGATATGAGGATTTGAGCCTCGCCCACAGTGTGCCCACAGACAACGTTGAAGGTACTTGTTGGTAGACATACATACCTGGCCTCGACGTCTGCGAAAAACAAGCGCATTCCGCTTCCAAAACTCTATAGCGCCACAACACAAAAGGCAGACAGTACTTCGGTCACGTGGGTGGTTTGGCAGATGCACAACCAAAGCCTCTTGCACGTGGAAGGGAACAAACACGGCCGGCCACTTACTTGGCTGTTTTTGTTGCTGCTGCTGTCGTCGTCCCTACGACGCAAAGCGGACGCTACATCGTCAAAGGCTTCGTCGGGACTTAGTCTTCCGCTAGCCACGTCGGGGTGTGATGCGGGGTCGTAGCACTGAATGAAGCACGTGCGTGAACGGAGGGGGCAGGGGCGTGGGGGGCATGATGCATCAACCAAATAGTCAACAGTTGGAAGTGCTGTGGAGCTAATAATACCTGAATCGGCAAGGAGACGGAAGGAACTTACGGCGTCATCAAAAAAAGGGAGGCATGGAAGACAATCGGGAGGGTGGCATGAACATCCGGCTCTGAGATACAGAAGCATGCCCCGCTACGTGCGTGGAGAGGGGAGCGGTCACGTGACCAGGTCGATTCGAGCTCGAAAGACGACCACAGAGAATAAAGTTGATTGCTTGCGAGGACGTACGTTCTACGGGTTGCAGCTGGAAACCCTATTGCAGTAGACCGACTTCCAGCTAGCTTACTCTCACGCCTCCTCTAGTGATATCGCACCCACAATAAAGGGTTCCATGGAAACAACAAGTAAATTAAGTTTCCCATTGTATTTCTACTCGTTCGCCCCGCCCGAAGCATCCCGTGTCCAGGCAAAACCTGGACGGACAAGGACCAGGTAGCAAGAACATATCGTGTCGAGACCACCCCCAGCAGACGAGGCGTCCATGACCATCGTCAACGTTGTCCGACCTTATCACCAGGAAGGGCCGCGAAGGAGCTACCACACGACTATTCGGCAAGCTTACCCTGTGGATGACATCCATCGTCACGGAACCACCGAAGTTTGCAGACAGACGCTCGTACGCGCCTTTCACCACAAGCTGGCGCCTCTTCGGCATGTTTCCCTGTCAGGGGTAAGCAGGCGGCCGGGTTACAAGCTCACCCTTTTTTTGCTAACGCACGTCGCAGATTTGAACGAACGGAGAGAGGGGAAACACTGTCCCTTTCGACCAATGAGGTGTACTTTCATCGTTGTCTCTAGCATTCTATTTCAATACAATCACCATGCATACACGACCCCGAACCCCAAAAACGAAAACATCCCAGCTGACGGCACGAACCCGCAGCCCTCTGTGGAACTCGTGGATGATGATGCGGCCCACCACGTCGCGATCGAAGAACCCCATGATCTTCTCGATGTCTCCGCCCGGACCGTCGTCCACGTCGATGCCGAAGTTCAGCAGGGCCTGGATCAGCTGAGACCTCTCCAGAAGCCCCGAGCCGTTCGAGTCCATGCTGTCCAGATGCTTCCTCAGCGACAGGAGGCCGCTCACTCCCCCGCGCTCGAATATTTGCGCCTTGAACTGTTTTAGATTGAATTGGTTTGGTTCAGATTTCTTACTGACACTCGACACTCGAACTGCTTCGATTAGCTGAGCGTTGCTTGTCTGGGTTGAGTGGGTTGAGCAATGTTTTTTGCAGATAGACGGACACTTGTTGTCTGAGGAGAAGGGGTTGAATTGTCGCGTGCATAGGACGTGCTGGGAGCGTGTGTTGGGCGCCGGCTTGACCGTTTTCACGTGTGATGTTCGTGTGTCTATGGTGGTACTATGCTTGGCGACTCAAAATATACCAGGGCAGTAAATAGATTCGATTGGCGGTACGACTGAACGGTGTGACCAAGATATTCTCATGCTTTGGCGTGGGAGGGATTCAGATCCCCTTGTGTATGCCTCTCCTCCGTGCCCTACATTGGGGCGCGATGCGACTCGCGACGCTTTGGGTCCACACAAACGCTGTCGGTGTCATGAACAGACCCCCCGACGGCTTAGTAGGCTATGAAATATCGATATGCAGCCAGGCAGACATTCAGACAATTTCTATCGCTCAAAGTCACCAACAACAGCACAAGGAATCATACTCGATGCAGGTACAATGGTTCGTAGAACGCCGCGGTTCTGCGCCAAAACCCACCCGTTCGATCATTGATCGCGAAGTTGAGTTCATAGCGATGTGTTCTCCCATTTCGAAGATGTGGTCGCACAGGTTCTTGTAGTCGATGGTGTTGGAGCAGTCCTCGTCGTAACGGTCGAACAAGCTCTCCAGCTCTCGCTGCGGGCAACGAAACGCGAAATCAGCGGCGATGTGGTGGGGATGACGGTATGTGTATGTATGCGTGTCATCTGTTGAATCATTGCTGTGTATCCCGGCGATGAAAACATCTAGCGGTTAGAACGGAGCATGGGCAAATCGTAGGGTTTGTGAACTCACTTGATGAGCATTTCACACGGTTGGTGAGTTAGCTTGTGTCGAAAGACACCGAGTGGTTTGTGCGGAATACACGATCGCGTCGAGTGTAGTGTGTTTATCCAGCATAAACTGGTTGTTTGACCTCGTTGCGACTGCCGCTGTTGTCGCCGTGTGTATGCGTTGCCCTGCTGCCGCTCGACACGGACATCTTTTCAAAATGCGACCCAACCGCAAGAACATATGGGTTCAAGTGTGCATTTGGCAACATTGTGAGCTTTACCTGAACGCCAACGAAGTTCAGCCTCGTCATCGCCGCGAAAAACTGATTGTAGTCGAGCCGCCCGGTCAGTCCAACATCAAAGTACTTGAAGACCTATTGAAGGGGCATGAACACGATTGATTCCGGGAGATGATCAGCCATATATACCGCTATTATGCACATAATTTCTTTTCGGAAAATGCTGCAGTTGTCACGAACAAATAACTCGGTGGAAGTGTAGGAACAACCCGTCTCGATTCGGGAAGGAATGACTGGACAAGACCTGGCCGTGGTGTAGAAATAGATGCCAGCATGAGCCGAGCTTGCACCACATGGACCAGGAAGAGAGAGGTGGTTAGACCCCGCCCGAAACGATGTCCACGCCAGGTTTGACTTGCTGAGATTACGCAAGAGTGTTCAGCGCACTCTCTTCATCGGATTTGCGCACAGGAGTCTCATTTTACCGCAATGATAATTATGTGATAATTATGGATATGTGTGTGTTGTCGACGAGTTTCACGCACCCGCTCCTTCTTTGCATCTAGTCCATCTACCTGCAGCAGTTCCTTGGTTTCCCTGAAGGATCCTTTGGGCATACTATGCGCGTTTCCCCCGTGGTAATAAACATAAATTACTCTTTCCTTGGAGCCCTTCAGTTCCTTCCCTACACAGCCCCCCTCATGGAACCTCTTACTTTTTCGAGAGCGCGGCTCTTCCCCTCGAGATCCTTGAAACCGGTCATGGTCTCGATTTTCGAACGCATCTTTTCCTCGAGCAGGTCTACCCGATCCTCCGATACGAACGCCATAACTGATCTCCTTTCCTTTCTTCTACGAGGATAGTTGACTCATACACTGTAGAGAGCCCAGAACCACAACTGCGGTACAAGTAGCCCAGAGTGGAAGCGCGGGCGAAAAACCGATAGTCAAAGTGCGGTCGTCGTGACGTCGTAAAAACTTGAAACCGTCACGCTGACTTTACTCCCCCGCGAAATCATTAGGGGGGGCATAATATCTAAGCCGGAGAGCCCCCACAATCAGCGCGCGTGAGACTTCACACCACGACAGACCGAGACACGCTGCCGCAATGATCGGGCAAGAGAGGTAGAGATACTTTGTCTCTATTACGCACGTCCGCTGTTGGCGGGGACCGAGAGGCACTCGCACAGCGAGGAGCACTTCTGCGCGAGGTTTTGTCAGGAAGGAAAAGGCTGGCATCCACCACAGCAAGGCAAAATCCTAGCATCCGATCTACAGCGCACGATCCTTGTTGGTTTGGGTACGCGTGCTACTGCTGGTGTGTGCACTAGAAAAAGGAGGATCATGCGCACTCCTGTGCGCGTGATCTGCGTGATCCTGTCGACGTTGGTCTACCTTTTCTGTGCTTCTGTGGGCAGGGCGCTCGCGGAGGAGGTCGCGGTGGTTGCGCCCGAGGAACGAGACCCACCGCAACCGCAGGAGCAGCAGCAGCAGCAGCAGCAGCAGCAGCAGCAGCAGCAGCAGCAGCTCGAGCAACTTCAAACGGAATCAGGACCTGCGGCTGGGGAGGAGGGAAACGCGGTGAGTGAGGACGAGGACCTAGCTGGTGTCGAAGACGATACTGCCGCCAACGCCGCTACTGCTTCCGTTGCCAGCGCTGGCGACGCCACCTGCTCGGCAGCGGCCGCCGCCGGGTCTTCTTGCACCGACGACGAGGGGCAGAAGCAGCAAGAGCAGCAGCAGCAGACGCCGCACAAAGGGGAGGGTGCCGTCAAGGTCGAGACGGGCGAGCTGGACGGCGTCCGAATCGAGTTCGTTGGGAAGACGGAGGGGACCATCCCCGAGCCCGACCGCCCGCCGCCGCCGCCGCCGCCGCCGCAGGCGGCAGGCGGCACTACTGCGGCGGCTCCCGCGGAGATGATAAATATGGAGTTCGAGCTGCTCCGGTGCGACGGAGGGAGTCACCGGGACGCCGCTGCCGCCGCCGACAGGGGGCTTACAGTCAAGGGCGTGTGGAGCCACCTGCGCAGCAAGCTCGAGAGGTCTTGGGAGAACGCGCAGCGGGTGTGTACGAGAATCGGGTATTTCGGTCTTGCCAGCAGCGTCCAGATTTTTTTTTTTGCGTTTGGTACCGTGTTGTTCTGGGTTGTGGCGTGGACTGTACCATGGCAGTATTTGCGGTGTGTTTCTCCGTGGTACATACTAATAGCAGTCCGTCTGTCAGGCGCTTGGACGTGTCATGTAGGCGGCGCGTGCCATGTTCGAGGAAGGAGACAACGATGAGAACAACGGCGTGGTTGTGCGAAGGGTGCACAGCTGTCGAGTGGCACGCTGCTATAATATGCACATGTACAAAATTATTTATTGTTGTTGACGTTCGTTCACCCCACGACGCGTACGAAGGAGAACAAACACCAACCGCCGCCACGTGGCATCCACGATGGCTCGCCGCTCAGAACCTACAGGAATGACTTTACTACTGCCGTGCTCCCGGAGTATTGCTCAGACCTACAGCAGTGGGAACACGCACGTCACCAAATAGTCATCTAAACAACACTGCATGCCCATCCCCCCTTGATGATGCACAACACCTCCTTACCAACGCAAGATCGTACCGAGCGCTGACGACGCGTCGCGGGAGGGCGCTGAGTCCGCAGCGACAGCAGGGAGCACGCAAGACGCAGCCTCTTCCGCGGGCAGCGACGCGGGCATCGGGTGGCGAGCGCTTGCCGTGGTCGCGTCCCCGGTGCACCACCTCTTCGGGATGCTGGGAGGGATGCCCGGGTGGTTCAGCGACGCGGTGTTCGAGGTGAGCAGCCTCCTCTGTTTGAGTCGGCTGCGGTCGGTCTACGGCCTGCCGATCTCCGCGTAGCACATGGCGAGCGAGGGGGCGGAGACATCGATGGTGTCCTCCGACATGTTTTCCCATCAAGTGTTGAACGTCGGCGACACCCTTGAAGGCTACCTTACCGTCTTTTTGCTTCCGTGGGACGTCGCCTGCCCCACGCCGCCCTCACGAAAGCTATTTCGTGTCATGTTGTTGTTCAAGTTCACGAGCGCCGCAATGCGCTAGCCCCTACATCGACGGCCACCCTTTCCCTTGGCGAACCAAGTGAAATCGTGCCATCTGAGCAGCCCCCCCCCCCCCCCCCCC